TCTTCTCAAGAACCACAAATTTTAACCAAGGTTGACACAAAGTAAGGATATTTTAAATTGTACAGAGGAAGCCCCCCCCCCCCCTTTCACCTCAAGGGGAAATCATCAACTCTTTTAGATATTATTGATATGATCAATGTTGAGCAACTTATACAAAAATAATGAATATTTGTTTAAGAGTCCTTTTGTTAAGGTTCAAAGTTCAATTGAAATTATTTTGAGATACATGTATTTGAGGATTCGAGATATCAGGAGTAAAATATTTAAAGAATACTTCCAAATTACTTTGACATCTCTATGGAATTCGAGATGTCTGTGTTCGAGATGCCAAAGTTCAACTGTATGGCTATGCTAAAGTAGTAAATATTATAACTTACTAAAAATTTCTAACATTGAAACATGTTAAATGAAACAAGACAGTTATGAAAAGTAAAAATTTACTGATTTCTGACTGGTCAGTATTTTGATGACTGTAATTTCTAAAATATTCAATGAAACACTTTGAAGCTTTAACTCTAGGTATATGTAACTAAATATACTATAAGGTAATATTTATAAATGAGAAGTTTTGAACAAACATTACAACATGCATGTATGTAAACTGGGGGTAAAAATTGGTTAATGGCTAGCGTCTCAATTTTCAGTGACATAAACAAGATTTAGAATGTAGGTAAATAATAATAGTATGTGTCTGTACATATGATATAGCATATAGAACTTGTACTGAATGTTGATTAGCTAAATCTTACATGGCTGATCTGTTGGTTGTTTTTGATGAAATTTAGATTATTTGTATGTAAACTGAGTGTACATGCAATATGAAATTATTCATAAGGTATTAAACATGATTAAAGCATGTGTATGCAATGCAACATATGATGAATTCATATTGACTTGTATGGATATAGCTTAACATGTATGTACATTGTTTTTTTAGGGTCCTGTTCTGCAGATGCCATGAGATGATCTGTCTGTCCATCTGATATCACTTGTCCTGAGTATATTTTCTCTCCTCTTAGCCCAATCTCACTCAAATTTAACTCATAGAGTGCCTGTGGATGGAGGGTAAAAAGTGACCTTGGACCAATTATCTAGGTCAAAGGTCAGTATCAAAATACACTATATATCTTTATTTAAAGTCCTTGTCCAGAGCATAATTTTTCTCCCTTGGTATGATCTGGCTTGTGTGCCATGAGATGAAGGGTTTTTAGTGATCTTTAACAAAATTTCTAGGTCAAATGTCAATTAATAAGAAAAAAAAGATTCGCAATATCCTTGTCCAGAGCACATTTCTCTCCAATTCACTCAACTAAAAGCAGTGTTCTACATGTATGAGATGGTCATATTCTCAATCATACCTGCTTTAATATTAATCTGGCTTAAAACCTTACTATGTAATGTTCATTATTTGGATGTCATGGTCATTAAATTTAAAGACTGAAACTAATCACTGATATTGGTACATTAAAGGACATTGAGTGATCTTGTCAGATTTCTAAATAATATTCAAGCATACAACTCTTACATCAAATAATAATTTTGTATGAAAATATATTGCAGATCGCAGATGATGTGAAGAAAACACAAAGGAAGTTGATGTTGAAAGAAGTATAGAGTATTTAATGAAGTTTATGAATGGACTTAGATGTGAAAGACTACTTCATTGTTTACCAAGATATATGATTTTATTTATTTTGATATCTTTTTGAAATAATATTTTTGCACATCAAATGAATTATTAAACATATGATTTGATAATGCTTTTTCCTTCTTATACATTTTCTTGATAGATTTTGAAAAGAAAACACAGTTTACCTAGGAAATTAATAATATATATTTTGATTTAAACCTACTGTTCTCTTTTCACATTCTAGACAAGAAAGATTAACCATGGAAAATACAGGGATCCTTGAGCTTCCAGTTGCTTGTCAATCATTTTTCGAAATCGAAATGCTCAACCTACCCTGTAGTTTCCATGGATAGTTTCCATGAAACTATTACACCACAATTACACATTGCTTCCCATCTCAGAAAAATAAGGGAATCTTAAAGATTCCCTGTAAATTCCTTTTATGAGACACCAGATAATTCCCCCAAGTTTCCATCACACGGAAACGGCTATGCTCCGATTCCATGTAGTTTCCTGAGTCATGGAAACTTGAGGAATCATGAGGTTTCCTCTAGTTTCCGTTCATGGGAAATCTGAGGATTCCATCAAGTTTCCATTCCATGGAAACCACTACGCTCCGATTCCATATAGTTTCCTAATTATGGAAACCAGTGGAATCTTCGGGTTTCCCATTACAGGAAACTACATGGTGGCCAGGGAAACTTCAGGTTTCCTGAGGTTTCCGTGGTTCGGGATACCTAATGGAATCGGAGCGTAGTAGTTTCCGTGGTACGGAAACTTAAGGGAATAACCTAGCATCCGCTGCGGAAACCACTAGGAAACATGATGTAAACTTGAAGTTTCCATGTGGTTTCCATATAGTTTCCCATGACGGGAAACTGCTTATTTCACCCAGTGTTTGTTATAGATTTATAAGATTTATGAATTTATTTAATAAATCTATATTTCATATGTTTTTAAATTATAAATAAATGTTTCCCTATTTTAATCTCTAATGATCATCCAAGTAGAACAGGCAGTACCTGGACTTAAGTTTTATAGCCTTGGATTATGAAGGTTTTGGTCTATGGTCTTTGGTTTGATGTATTCATTGTTTTCATTGGTTTGGATTTTGTAAGGTTATGTTTTATTTGTTTGGTATTTTCCCCTCCAAAAATTGTTGCTTGTTCTGAACACTCTTTGCCCAGTCTTTGACCAGAGAGGTTTATTTACAATGACATCATTATCACACATTTGACGATACTTCTCTCTAGGACAAAATTTGCAGCTCTCCACCGGCAAGAGGTGGCGTCTCCATATGAGTGAAAAATTCTCGAGAGGGACGTTAAACAACACATAAACAAACAAACAGGTATTCACTTCTAGCCGCTGTGCTGCACGAGTTAGACAAAAATTTTATAAATGGAAAATTTTTCCATGTCTGTATTATTGCAGCCCGTAGGACCGGGCTGCTCTATACATATAAGTTTAAGTTCTGCTGTATGGGATTGAGGTGGAAGAAGTTATTCAGAATTAAAGATAACTGTTCATTAAAAATATACATCAGCATGTTCCTTCCCCTTAGAAATTGCGAGATACACAGATACACAATATATATTTACTTCCATGAAGTAAATCTTTAAAATATATTATATGTTTTTCAAATGTAATATAAGTTGCTTATCATTTACTATCGACAAAACGACAGTCTCTATTTTTAGAAAATAAAATGTTACATATGGCATAAAAACGTAAATTACACAGTTTGTGTTTGATATTCATTAAGTCAAATATATTTTTGATGATAGGTGATACATGTGTCTGATTCTAATTTATATTTTATGCAGCCAACAGTTACTTGAGGAAATGATAAAGTTTAAAACCGTATCGTTTTTGTTCGATGTTAATCCAGTTAGAAGCTTTCCGTAAATCTTCTCGACTATAGTCTCGATCACTCAGACGCATGCCTTTATCACACAAATCGATGCGGTTTGACGATCAAGATTTTACTTCATCTATTTCCCGGGCGACAATTGATGGCAACATCAATGTTTTGTTACTATATGATGTAATGTAAAAATAAGCGAGAAGTAAGGTTCGTTCACAACCCTCTGCATCCAACGGTTTCTGGCAACGGACACAGGTTTTCTAGAGCTTTTTTTTCGTGTTTATCTCCAGTTTTTGCTTGGCTGGCCCTGGTGCTATGTAAAGGGGTTACTGCAGTTGTTACACATTAGTGTAAGGTATTGGCCATGTTTTAAACTTTGTTTTTTAAAATTTTGCAGTGCTATAAAGAAGGTCAGCATTAACTTTTTCTTAATTTTATTTATGTATGTAATATTGAAGTAATGCAAAAGCACAAATAAATTACGGGCGTCAGCAATCACGGCTGGCTATCAGGCAATGTATGTTTGTGTTGTGTTGTAATTTAATGGTAGTAGAGTTAACATGGAATCAAAATTGATTATTTTTTCTTGAAAGAATAAATAACCCTTCATTTCAGAAATATATATATAGAAATATATCATTCCCTTTATACAAGGCAACTTTGGGTGAAATTCTCAATATGGTACAAGAGAATTAGTAATGTAAAAGTTAACATTCGTCGGACAGACGGACAGACAGATAAAGAGGGTCCAATTTTTATTATATCGTGGCAATACTTTCAATCTAATAATCACTAAAAATACGACATCATCGTAGTTAAAGATTTCAGTAAACAAATCGTTTGCTTGCCGCCATTTCTTTACATCAGGAACACGTAGAACAGAATTTAGCGCTGATTTTTTTTATACCCCCCTCCCTCCCTCTTCTCGGAGAGGGTGTATTAGAATATTTCAGGGCGTCATGCAATCTGTTTTTAGTCATTCAATATTCTAAAAATATCTCTGAAACGGAATAAAAAACTTTACAATATCACAAGAATAGGACATGATTTGTAAAACTGATCGGAATTTGAATATTGTTCTGTTTAAAAGAAGCACACTGTGAACGGTAAAAAACGATAGATCGGCGATGATATTTAATGGATTTCAGTGTTCTTCAATATATTAATATTCATATCTTAGAAATACAACAAATAAACAAGAATGTTTTTTTTTTCTTATTTTCGATGCTGCATCAAACTATCTTTGCATTCAAAATAAGCTCAAAATTATTGTTAGATTTGTCCTTTTTAAAAATTCATAAGGCAAGAAAATGTAAAAAGACGAATAGTAATTCAAGCCTCTGGGTACATACTAAAGGAAACAAGAAATATCCTGGTACAATATTCAGTAAGACGGTGATAGTGTACGAAGTTTTGATATAGAAATAGAAATTCAATTTCCTATATCCCATATCTATTACACTACTTATCGAGTAATGTGTATCTACTGATGAAAGATCTACAATGATCACGTACGATATTAAAGTGAAGACTGGGGATAAACTGGGCGCGGGGACAGACGCTAACATAGAAATCGTCCTACTTGGTAGCTCAGGAAAGCAAACAGAACCTGCCATTCTTAACAATTGGTGTAGAAATGATTTTGAACGTGGCAATACAGATGTTTTCACCATTCAAGACAAAACAGATATTCCTGAAGTAACTGAAATCAAGTTGCGAAGAGACAAAGCGGGTTTGTTCAGCGATTGGTTTGTCGAAAAGGTTGAAGTAACCAATCAGAAGAGCGGAAAGACTTGTGTTTTTCCAATACTTCGGTGGATTCGCCCTGATGTTGACCTCTATTTTGGACGACATGATGTCTCTCTGCCACAGTTTGATCCTCGACCACAACAACGCAGTGCTGAGCTGGAGGAGAAAAGGAAGCTCTATGAGTATGGGGAGAAAAATCCAGGATTACCCGTGCAGGTACAAATGAAAAAGGTTAAGATAACGAACAGTAATCGATAAACAATACAATTCTGTGAAGAGGGCATAAAACACGAACTCCTGAAAATTCCAGAGGTGGGATCAGGTGGCAAGGATTGGTAGGCATCCCCTGTCGACCGGTCACATCCGCCGTGAGCCCCATGTATTGATTGGGTAGACGGAACATTCCGTAGTTGAATGCAGTATAAAAATACAGGCCTAACAATTGGTATGAAGCAAGTCAGCCAAAATACGACTCAATGATAAGAAACAGATGAAATGCTGACTTTAAACGAGGCTGTTGAAATCCCTGTAACATCAACTATTCCGTCAGTAGCCTGCCTCGGTTTAAAAATTGATCGTACTCGAAAAAATGGAAATTTTCATCATAAAAGAATGGAACCCTCATCCAAGCATCCTTTAGGATGTGATGGATAGGGTCATTTTCCGAATTCGCCGAAAGGCTACGAGAGTTTAAATGGAATATCATGTCACACTTAGTCCACGTGGACCTTCTTTTAAAGTGATCAAAATAAAAGATTTTTCACACCTGAGTGGTTGTCATGCCTTATATATACCTGTAACTGACCATTGTCCGTGTCTTTGGAAGTAATTATTAAAATAAAATTTCAGGATCTAAATTTGTATATAAGTGGTAGGCAAAGATAATACCAAAATTATTAAATGAGAAAGGGAGGGTATTTAAACCCTCGTAGCCTTTCGGCTTATTCGGAAATGACCCTCATCCATCACATCCTAAAGGATGCTTGGATGAGGGTTCCATTTTCATTCATTCAGCCTCCAGGCTTTACTCTGGTTTATATGGAATCTTTAAAGCATTTCAAATTTAGAACCTGAAAGAATCTTCATAACTAATTTTAAAAATTATTGAAATAAATATAACCAAGACAACAACTATGCTTAATAACAATTATTTATTCAAAGACTACAATTAATCCAAGCACTTTAACACATTACAAATTATTAAACTTAAGCACAGTGTCCATCACATTACACAAATGAATCCACCAATCATTACCGTAAATGTCTATCCTCAATCCAGAACCGAATGCTCCAACTCCTCACAATCCTTTGATGTGCGCTAGAAAAATCAATTATTTTTTGTCCTTAATATGGTATCAGAAAAAGAATTTATTGTTTCTCTCTTATGATAAGTATAAAATGTTTTTGCATTTGCCCAGTTAGCAGTTTCTAAAATCTCGCTTAATTGAACACCTCCTGCAAATGCTGCAGAGGTTAATGCACTTTTAAATGAATATGCAGAGAAAACTGATTCATTAATACCAGATCGCTTTAATACCTCTTTTAGCCATCTGGTTACTGTAGATGTAGAGATCTCTTTGTGGGTTTTGAATGATATTAATAATTTATTAGTTTCCCTTTTTTCTTTAGTAACTTTCAAATAATATTTTAATGTGTGTAAAACACAACAACTCTTATCAGGAAATGCACTGATCTTTATTTTTTGAAAATCATGACCCGGTCTTGATGTTTCCAAAAGATCTGAAATTGTGAACACTACGTATTCACCAAATTCAGCCATATTGTTGATATCCAATGATATCAAAGCTTGAACTCTTTGCGCTGTTGTTAAAGCAAGTAAAGCTGACAGTTTTATGTTAAGATCCTTCAAACTCAAGTTTTCCAAGGGATAAAGACTTTTTAAATAATTCGATTTAATTGCTGAAAATTAAATCGCGTTATTAGAGAGGCCCATATTTGGGGTTATTAGTATTTCCCCGTTCTATCAACTTTCGGTATTTTAGTCTAACCCATGGGACTTCCTTTTCCGTTAGAGAACCAAGGAAAGCAGAAGTATCCTGCATCTCAAGTTGCAAATTTGTTTATTTTTTATACTGTGTTAAAAAATTTGCATGTTTTGCATTGAAATTTAAGGAGAATATTTCTAGCAATTTTTATTTTCGTGTGTATATGCACCATTATGTAAATGACTCTTCGGATGTTTTTAGATTTTGAAAAACCACATGCTAATAAAACAGAAAAGTCGTAACGCTGAGACAATATTTGAGCAAAAAATAATAATAATAATATTAATAACTTTATGATTTCTATATTTATTTCTTACTCTAAAGTCGGTAGTTTCAGAAAATGCCTAGAGGTAAACCGGCTGCCAAGCCCGCGAAGCGGAAATCCGCTGCCAAGTCAGCACCTATGAGTGGGCCCAAACAAAAAAGGGGATCAGTTGCATTAACAGAAGTTTCGACAGACGAAAACATATACCCTGTACAGCTAGTATTACAACTTCAAGTGTGGCTACTCCTTCCACTAGTTCCAGCAATGAATCTGAGGTCAATTTAGATACAACAGGTAACGAGATCGATAGTATATACGGTAGTTTGGGGGCAAATGTTACAGAATCGATCAAACAAAAAATTATTAAGGGCGAATACATTGATTTAGGTCAGCTTCTATCCAATCCGGTCCCGATGGATGGTAAGCAAACACTAACAGTCTCTAATGGTCAAGTAGTGATTGAACCGAAACGGGCTACAGTTAAAATTACAAATGTACAGCAGTGGACTGATGCATTTTTGATTTTCTCATCAATATATGCCACAGTACACCCTACAAAAATTTTTGGCTTGCTTAAGTACATCCACACTGTTCGTCTAGGGGCTAACAGATGCACTGGTATAGGGTGGAAATTTTATGATGAGCAATTTCGAATGAGAATTGCAAAAAATTCAAGTGCTTCATGGGGAATAGTTGATCAGGAGCTTTGGCTAATGTACATGGTACCATCGTTTACTGGTCATGTGCAAAAACCTTCAGCGGGGAGGGGGGGGGGGGGGGTCTTAAATGCTATGACTATAACAATTATGGGGTTTGTGTAAAACAGCAGTGCCATTATTTACATAAATGTTTGAGCTGTAGCGGCCCTCATCCATCAGTTATGTGTACAGGCCCGTTTGCTAAAAATCAATATGCTTCTCGAGATTTTTCAGGTCAAAGATACCCATTACAATACAGGAGCCAGGTACCTTCATCAAGACCACCCCCAGCCTAGAGCACGATTCCCCAGTGTACCACAATCTGCAGGGCCTAGGTTTTTCCCCAATTAAAGTGGAAGTTCTTGCAGCTTATTTACAAAACTCTGATTATGATAGGAAGAGTTCAAAAATTTTGCTAAAGGGGTTTTCTGAAGGTTTCAAACTAAATTACAATGGTCCAAGGGTAGCTACTAATTGTTCTAATTTAAAGTCAGCTTGAGATAATGAGCTTGAAATTCTGGAAAAAGTATTTAAAGAAATTAATGCTGGAAGAGTTGCAGGCCCATTCCATTCAAGACCCTTTCCCAATCTTAGGCTTTCACCTGTAGGTTTAGTACCGAAAAAGGATGGCTCATTTAGGTTGATTCATCATTTATCTTATCCTGAAAACTCAAGTGTTAATTCATTTATTGATCCATCTTTCTCCTCAGTCAATTATTCCTCATTAGATGATGCTGTTAGGTTACTAAGTTTGTTGGGTAAGGGGGCCTTGATGGGTAAAATGGACTCAAGTCTGCATTTAGGTTGCTTCCTGTTCACCCGTCAGATTTTGAGCTTTTAGGTTTTAAAATAAATGATATGTTTTTCTTTGACAAATGCCTGCCTATGGGATATTCAGTGTCTTGTAGTCTTTTTGAGGAATTTTCATCATGTTTGGAATGGATATTGAAGCAACAGTCGGGACAGAAATCTGTGGTGCATTACTTAGATGACTTTTTGTTTGCTGGTAGGGCAGGTAGCAATACATGTGATGAACTTATGTCATTGTTTGTGGGGCTTTGCGAGCAGTTAGGTGTCCCCTAACGGGTGCGGATGATAAAACAGTGTAGCCTTCAACTTCCCTGACCTTTTTAGGTTTTGAGTTAGATTCAGTTGAAATGATGATAAGAATCCCAGTTGATAAGTTAAATAGTTTAAAGGAATTGATCAACAGTTTTATGTCAAGAAAGAAGGCTACTCTAAAGGAATTTCAGGCTCTTGCAGGTTTGTTGAACTTTTGTTTGCGTGCCATTCCGTCAGGCCGGGCTTTCACTAGGCGTATTTATGACATCATGCAAGGGGTCTGTAAACCACATCACTTTATCAGGGTTTCTTTGGCAGTTAAGGAGGACTTGTGTGTGTGGCTTACATTTTTAGATTTGTTCAATGGCTGCTGTTACTTTCTACAAATTGACTGGGTAGATGTTGATCAACTCCAATTATTTACTGACAGTGCAGGGAATTCAGAATTAGGTTGTGGTGCTTTCTTTAGGAATCAATGGTTGTTTTTCAAGTGGCCAAGTGAATGGGCTGGTACTGAAGTAATCAGGGACATCACATTTCTTGAACTTGTTCCAATTGTTTTGGCAAATCATGCTTGGGGAAGTCAGTTATTCAGCAGAAAAATAGTTTTCCATGTGGACAACGAGGCCTTAGTCACAATTTTGAACAAAAAAAATCTTCTAGGTCTAAGCGTGTTATGTGCTTAATTCGTCCCTTGGTACTTCATTCCATATTAAACAATATACAGTTCAAGGCTTGTCATATTTTAGGTGTTCATAGTGAGGTTGCTGATGCTCTATCTCGTTGTCAGTTTCAGCGTTTTCGGTCACTTGCACCTCAGGCGGACTTGGAGCAACATCAATTCCAGAGTTCTTTCGAACCGTCATCTCCAGACTGAATTTGACAGATTAGTTCAGAGTTCAATTTCAACAAATACAAGACTTGCTTATCAGACAGGTTTACTTAAATTTGATCGTTTCAGGTTATCTTGTGGGTTACATCCGATTTGGCCTCCTGATGAAAAACAGATTATAGAATTGGTAGCTAGTTGTTCATTAAAGGGTCTGTCTTCTGCTACTGTAAGGACCTATCTGTCAGGTATAAGCTTTAAATGTAAACTTGATGGTAACCGAGACCCCACCCAAAACTTTGTTATCAAAAAGATGGTGGTAGGCATGTCAAGACTGCAAAGTTCAGTAGATGCTA